AAGGGAAATAACCCGAATGTCTATCAATCGATGAATGGATCAACAAAAGCAGTATATTCATAAAACAGAATGTGCCCCATAAAAAGGAGCGAAGTTCTGATACATGTTGCATCAAGAATGAAGCTTGACAAGGTTATGCCAAGTGAAAGGAGTCAGGCATGTGCAACTCCACTGACACGAAATGTCTGGAAGAGGCAAACTCATACAAACCGAAAAGAGACTAGTGTTTCCTTAACACTGCAGAGAGGAGGGGAAGGGGAGGGACTGCTATTGGTGTGGGATTCTTTCAGCTGATGAGAATGGTACACAACCTGGTGAATATAACAAAAACCACTACAGTGTACACTTTTTAAAAGGTGGACTTTATGGCATATGAATTCTTTCTCGATGTAAACAACATCTTCGCCCGACGTCACTGCTCTTTAGAATAAAACCCAATTTTAAACAGCCTACAAGACTTGGTCCCTGCCTCTCCTCTCCCCATCCTAAGCAAGCAAAACTTATGTCGGTAAAAATGTTGCTGGAGGCTGGGCAGGCAGGACAGGAGGTGAGATAATCCAGTGGCAAGGGAGCTGGTTATTTTAAATACGGTAAAACTGGTCAGAAAGATCTCCCTAGTAAGGTGGCAATAAAGAAATATTTATTCAGTGCTTGATCCGCATTTTGCTGGCTCTACTCTAAAGCCTCTTAGCCTTTTCTCTGACGCAAAACGTTCTTTCTCCCCTCTGGGCCTGGCACTACTGTCCCCTGCATCTGAAAGCCCCCCCACCCCCAACTCCGTGTTCTGCAGTCAGGCAACGGCAGACCTTGAAAAACACTGGACAACCCGGCGTATCCTTCAGGGTGGTTAGATCACTTCTCCTGAAAACCTTTTCCAGCCACTCTCCCACGCACTCTCCTTATGTCCTCCCAATGTCCCACGTATAATTCATGCTGGTGCAGATTCTGGACCATTTTAAACATCGGATCCTCTTCAGACAAGTTCTATTGAGGGCAGGGCCCCGACGTATGCGCAGTGCTCAGCACTGCGCCTGGCACGTGGGTTTGGAGTGGGGTCCTGAACTCAAATACAAGGAAGCATGCACACCGAAGGTGAGTCCACTGTGGCGCTGGACTGACCGGCGGCCCCTTTCAGAGGGAGTCCTCCGCCCCACACTAAGGATCCCGTCGTGGCTCTCAGGATCGACCACTGGATCTAAGGCCCCTAGCCACCACCGGCCCAGTCCCAACTCCCAGGCCTGACCTGTAGGTTCCGGGTAATAAGATGCAACTTCTCTTCAGGGCTTGGAGCGTCTCCCATGGTTCCTCCGTTCCTACCTCGCCCGTTCAGCGCAGGGCTCGCGCCCCTTCCTCAGTAGCCGCCGCGACCGCCTCGGTGAGTCTGGAACTGTCACGCGGATTTGGGCAGGTTGCATCAGATGAGATCGTCGCTCGGCTTCGTTAGTCTGGGCCCTTTTCCGCCCGGCAGCAGCTGAGAGTCAGACGCAGTCGAGAGTCGAGCGGGTCGATGAGCCGAAAATGGGTGGAGCCAGGAGGCGGGGTAGGTGGTGCGGAGGGCGGGGCTGCGGCGCTTGCGCCAGGCCACGGGCGGGACGGAACCCTCTTAAGAAGGCAAGGCCGTTTCCTGCCAATCACCGCCTTCGCCCGGCCCCCTGGCGTTGCCCCGGCTGCCTGAGACGGGGGAGGTCGGTAAAATGGCGCAGGGGGCGGAGTGAGGCGCAGTCGTTCCCCCAGGCTTCGGCCCAGCTTCTGGAGGTGAAGTGCGAGAGAAGCCAGGGGGTCGTGGTTTCCGGCTGGGAGGCGGTTGGGGCGCCTGTTGCTTCTGAGGGTGTTCGCGCGCCGTCCGCCCCGTGGAAGGGTTGAGAGGCCCGAAGGGCTCCTGGTATCCGAGGCGGTGGCAGGATGGATTTCCCCCAGCCGCCTTGTCGGCGGGTCCTGGCAGCCCCTCTCCGTGAGGAGGAAACGGGTCGGGTCCCCCGAGAGGCGGCGGGGGAGCGGATCTGATTTGGGGTGGGTGATGCCTCGCTGCCCTGGCCCACAAGGGGGCAGGGTGTTGCAGGGGGTTCCCTCGCGAGCTTTCCGCGCTCCTGATTGACGCGGATGGGGGAGGAAGCCGCCTCCCCGCTTGGCCCCGGGGTCTTGGCTCGAGCTCCTGTGGGTGTGGGCCGCAGGCCAGGGACGCCCCTCTCTGGCTCCAGCCGGAGCCCTCCCGGGGGAGGGGCGGCGGAACCGGCTTCCCCGAGGCGGCCGTTTTGTTGTCAGGGTGGGGAGCGCGCAGG